AGAGAGAGAGAGAGAGAGAGAGAGGAGAGAGAGAGTGTGTGTTCAGAGGACAACCTCAGGTGTCAGTCCTCACCTTGCAGCTTTTTTGAGAAAGGGTCTCTAGTTATGTCAGCACTGTCACAGGAGGCTAGTTGGCCAAAGAGTTGCTGGGAATTGCCCCATTCCCACCTGTCTTCTTGCCATAGGAACACTGGGATTATAGATGTGATAGTGTGTCAAGCTTTATCTGGGTTCTGGGAGTCTGAACTCAGGTCTTGGTGCTTTCAAATCAAGTGCTTCCCCCACTGAGTCATCTCTCCAGCTCTCATGTTTAACCTGTAGAGAAATGATGAATCACCTTTTGACTTCCACTGCGAAGTTTCATTGTAGATATTCACACATTGTAGATACTCATGTAAAGTTTAGCCAATGACACATTTACATTTTACAAATTTCTCATTGTCCCTCAATTATAAATATTTTCCAGGTAAAATCAATCATTCCAAAAGTTGCTAATCTTTTCTGTAATCACTTTAAGATTTACTTTATTTTTAAATGTGTGTGTGTGCGCGCGCACACACGCGCGCGCGCGTGCTCGTGTGCGCAAACACATACTCGGGCATGTGTACATCTGTATACAGATGCTGGCAAAGGCCAAAAGATGGCCTGAGCTCCTTGGAGCAGGAGTTATAGGTATGTGGGAGTCTGATGTGGGTTTCTGGGAAGTGAACTCGGGTCTTTGGCAAGAGTAGCATGTGCTCTGAGCTGCTGACTATCTCTCAGCCCCTCATTTGTGTTTTATTACAAGGAAATATTTTTGCTGTTGTGATATTTTATTCCCATTTATATGAATGTCCTTTGTCTTTCTGTATGATTGTTGGTAACAGTATTACTTCCTCAACTTTAACATCATAGATCCACCCTGTTAAGCCACCTTAAAGTCTGTACCTGTGACTTACAGGTTCATTGCATGCAGTATGATTTCTGAGCTATAAACGTGAACATTCCTTCCTGGGAGGTAGAAAGCTCCTAAAGACAGGGATTCTAGCATTATTTTCCCTAGTCCTAAATACTTCTGACTAACTTGCTGTGTAAATCTGAGCGAGGCTTTCTCTTGGAAAGGCTGACCTGGGGACCAGGGACCTACCTGACATTGTTATGAAAATCAATTGGGATTATTCAAATGCAAGGTTTAGCATACTGACTGGCACCTGGCCTGTGGTCACCACAGAACAGCTGTCCCTATAGTTTAATTTTTACCAGAAATTGTGCCCAGTCTCTAGTTAATTGTATCTTAGAATGAGCAAAGTTTGTCCTCTCGAATCCACCCCATGCCTCTGCTGTGCATCTATAATACAATTAAAGCCTACACCTTACTCTCCCAGGCTAGGACCGCTTGGGGTTCTCTCTCTCTCTCTCTCTCTCTCTCTCTCTCTCTCTCTCTCTCTCCATCTCGGAGTGATTTTTCAGAAGGTAGAAATTTTCTCTCTCTGTCCCTGTATCTCTCTCAATGCCTTTCACTCTCCCTTCCTCTCTCTCTCACTCTATCATTTATCATCTGTTTATCTACCTATCTCTATTACTCACTCTTTCCCTATCTCTGTCTGTCTCTCTGTCCCTGCCCATCTCTAACTCCATCACTTGTCATCCATCTATCTATCTATCTATCTATCTATCTATCTATCTATCTATCTATCTATCTATCTATCTATCTATCTATCTGGGATGACTTACAGGCTGCAGTCCAGCAATGGCTAGCTATTAATAGAAAGTTCAAGAATCTAATAGTTGACCTCCCCAACTCTCTGTCTTCAACAATAGCATTCCACTGAAGCATCTAGAGGAAGAGAAACACTCTTTCTCCCAGTATAGCTCCAGGGAAGTGGAAGCCTCAGAACTGCTGTAACTATCCGGCTTCTAGCCTATGGATAAAGCTGATACGTAGAAGAGGTCAATGCCAAGAAAACAAACAGAAAGGAGAGGATACCTGCCCCAGCTCTTGCCAATAAATAACTGTGTGTGTGTGTGTGTGTGTGTGTGTGTGTGTGTGTGTGTGTGTTAAGGTTTGAGCAAATCAGGATTTTCTATTTCTTGAAGCCAAAAAACATTTTAAGTGGTTCAGAAAAGCAAGCTGAAGAGTTTCCAGAGCCCGAGTTTCCATGCATGTGTAAACACTCAGTGTGTCCTTCAGCTTCTTCTTGGAGTGTCTCCCCAACCACATCTCCACAACACACATGTCTTCCTGAAAATAGAATATGATATTCAGAGTAAAAGCTTCATTATTTCTGCAATCTCCTAAGAGCTCACAGAACTACCTGTCCTTGTGGAGGTGAAATTCAAAGCAAATGGTGAATTCATAGTCACCTGTATGATGCTGATTTGGGGCCCTTAACATTTATCAGGTACCATAAATTTTCTTGGTCTTCTTGAAATCACAAATACAAAGTAGGAAGACACCACTCAAGAACCAACGAAGTGAGTTTTTAATTGTTGTGGTCTCAGGGTTTCCTGCTCCTATATCCAGCTGAGGAAAGCAACCAACTATATATAATTTAAAATACGTTAAAGGCTCTCAAATTTAATCTTTCATTGATAGAATAAGAGCAACCCAAGATTGCTTTGGATTTTAGAAACCTGGAGAATGCAATGGGTGATCAAAGTAAGAAACACTCAGCTAAAGTCCAACAATGAGCTTTTTTCATAGAGCTGAATCAATTTGTATTTTCTCTACCCTGGGAGCCCCAAGCTACTCATGATTTAATGGTATCCAGAGCTCTCAGAATTATGGAGACAGGGTGCCTTTGAACAGTCAGTAAAGGGGAGACCAGGTAGTTCTCTATTGTCTAAAGTACATAGAACCATAGGTCTGGAGACATTCCTTGATATTATCTATGGGGCCAGCCACAGGTAATTCCAGAGTCTTGCCTAGGGTCAAACCACAGAAGCAAGTCATCTGACCCGGAGGTCACCACCATTTTCTTTTCAGCACCCACTTCTCAGGTATAGTAGCTCTTGGAATTGCATGAATGAATATATTACAAAATTTAATGATTGGGGTAGATTGTTGATGCTTAATTAATCTCTAGGAAAAACTAATTACCTATCCCATATAGCTCAGCTTTATGATTTTGTTTTTGTTTTTAACTTTTTTAAAATATAGAAAGTGAAGCCACTGGCCATTCTTATAAACAGAATCCTACTATCCATAAAAAGTTAAGGTGAAAAGAGGAGTACGTATATAAACATAGCATATATTTAAAATACGATATTAGGAGGGAGAGGGAGCTAGGATTGGTATGTAAAATAAGATTGTTTTGAATTTAAATAAAAATTTATTTTAAAGTATATTAGTAGACTAACATGCTTCAGTATGAAAAGAGTTAAAAAATAAGAAAGGAAGAAATTCATATAAAAATAATTTATGTGGTAGACCATGACTAAAAAAGAAAAGTAGATATGAGTTGTTAGTTAATAATTCTTAAGAAAACTAAAAGGGTGATTAAAACGTTTTCTTTGGCCAGGCAGTGGTGGCACACATCTTTAACATCAACACTTGGGAGGCAGACTCAGGTAGATTTCTGTGAGTTCGAGGCCAGTCTGGTCTACAGAGTAAGTTCCAGAATAGCCAGCTCTGTTACACAGAAAAACCATATCTAGAAAAAGAAAAAAAAAAAAAGAATCTCTCTTTAAAAGTCTCCCAGTATTTTTTTCAAGATGAACACAATCATGTCCTTAAGAAACCAATCACTTTAATCAGATACTCTTTGGTCTGAGAACAAACTGTAAAGAAATCTTCTTTGTGTATAATTCTTTGTGTGAGGATAATAAAATCATTTGACCAAAATTAGGGAAAGATGATGTTTTTAAAAAATGCTAAAGAAAAAAGAAAGGAGAAATGACTAGCTCTTCTCTTACGGCAGCATAAATTCAAAACTCAGAAGTCAAAAATATTAACTAAATCTAGTTATGCAATACAGTACCATAATCCCAGATGCATAGGTGCAGTCTAATATTTAAAAAGCCTATAAGTAAAACATAACATGGTAAGAGGAGAAGAAAAACAACTTACTACATAAAGAAAAGCAAGCTGACAATACTTAACACTCATTTAAAGCATCCAGATCTCAGTAAATTTAGGCACAAAGTGGGGGTGAAATCCCTCAGTCTGATTAAGATACTTATCAGTTAGCTACAGTAAATAGTATTTGTAATGGAGAAAAGGGAGGAATGACTGGGATAATAATGTGTTCTATGGAGGAATGCTTTTCTTCAGACTGTCCTGGAGATCTGCCCTTAGATAAGGCAATAAAAAAAAAAGAGGGGGTAGGGGTTAAGGGAAGGGGCAGAGAAATAAAAGTCATAGGGAAGAAGAAAAGAAAGAAAGAAAGAAAGAAAGAAAGGAAGGAAGGAAGGAAGGAAGAAAGAAAGAAAGAAAGAAAGAAAGAAAGAAAGAAACTGTCATTTTCTGTAGACAATAATACTATTATCTGCACAAATTGAATACCCAAGGAGAAGAATTTACAGACAAACTGATATCAGAGAGGTAGTGAAAGATCACCTAGGAAACAATGGAGGTATCATGTTTATTATACAGAAAATATAAAATGATCCTTGCCTCACTTTTATACATATTAAAAAACACTGTTGGTAATGGATTAAGTCATATAAAAAAGAAAAAGCAATTAGGAATTTAATAATTTCACAGAAAAGCTATCTTTATAAACTCAAAAGACAAAACAAATCTTTTACATAAGACAAAACAACATAAGCCTTAAGACAATATATAGATATATTAACCTGTAGTAAAGCTTAAAGGTTATGTTCACCAAAACACTTTAAAGAAAACCACAAAGTGGAAGAAGATATTTGTGACATGGGATTTATAAAACTGATAACCAAAAGGAACCTCGGTGGGAAGATGGGAGAAATGCAAAAACACACCTCTTACACAGGAGGGAAGATGAGTCTCAAGAGAGTATTTGTGGCTTAGAAAATGAGTGTTAGAAACCACTTCGAGCTCCTCTCTCCCTGTGAAAATGAAAAAAAAGAGGGGGCACAGATGGAGCTGAAGGAAGAGAAGAACCAAGTGTTAAAGAGGAATATGTGAGCATATAATATAGCATAGATTATATTATGTGATTATGTAATATATGATTATATATATGACATCTGTATTACCAGTCAGAAGAAAATTAGTTCTGTCATCTGGAAAGCCATTTACTTTATCTTGGAAAGGGCATATTTGAATATCCAGAATTAGACAGTGTAAAGCTAGGTTTATAATGTAAGTGTATGAAAGTCTTTGCACATGAACTTCAAGAGACATGTACCAAAAT